TACCGCATTGTATACATGCGTTTGAATCTTGCACGACGAAAAAAAATAGCGTCAGCCAGAAGAAAAGAAAGAAAGAAAAGACACATAAAAAAGGAAAACAGAGCATTTTAGTAGAGCACAAACATCGTAAGAGTGAAAAAATTATGACAGAGCAAATCGCACGTAAACATTTTTTAAGAGAGCGTAATCAAACCGCACCAACGATGCAGCAAGCAGTGCTGTAGTTAAATTGAAGTGTTTCGAACAACAACACAATAACGAATATGTATATACTGCCGCCGACCAAAGCAAGACGGATTCGTTGTGACATGATCGTGACCCAAAAAACATGCAACCACAAATTATAATATGCTTCACTACATACATATTATCGGTTCAGAGATTCAAAGGGCTTTATCTGTAGCATATATATATATATTTTGGGATTTTCGAATTTTTTATGGATTCCATTGAGTTCTGTTTATGGTTAACATTAACTGTGTGAACATTATCATTTGCGGTTGGGTTTTAATTTAAATCAGTTTTTTCACTTGACAACGCAATACTTTCATTAAATGACTGTTAATTTAATTAAAATTCGTCACAATATTAATTACTTGGTTTATTAAAGGAAACATCCTCTATCTTGCTTGCATCACCCTGCATTTGCTCGACTTTTTAAGGAACGTAATTTCATTTTTCTTTGCTTTCAGATTTTTCCCTGGAACTGGTCTACCGATGCACTGCATAATGACTTGAATTTTGTACATAATATATATATTTCACAAAGAATTTATATTCACCGTACAAAATGAACGTAATATGGCGCATAAACATCGTTGAATAAAAATCGTCGAAACAAAGTCGGGATATTTTTTCCCTTGAAAACGAAAGGAATTAATAAAAACGAATGCAATGCTAACGAAGACGATTTTCAACAAACAAATTTCAATGAAAAAAAATCAACATGTATACAAAAAAAGTCCGGAGATAAGACAACATATTTTTAACTTGTTAACTGAATCCAGAAAATAAAGATTTTTTACCAGCGGAAAGAAAAAGGCGAGCATCGTCTGAAATTCGTTTTATGTTGTGTGTGTGCACAGTATACAGTAGAGATAATTAAAAGATCGACCGACAGATATGCAAACTGCGAACATAAAGCCACCAAAAACAAAACACGGAGACGATACACGGTAAAAATTCACAGCGAAAATACAACATGCATAAATAAGAATTACAAGATGTTACAGCGGATGACGAAGACAAGGATTTCCATCGTTTGAAAATCGTGAATGTGTGGCTGCACATCGGATATAAGGGGAACATGTAATTAAAGTGCATTTTATTATTTGTTTAGAAAACGCAATATAAACGACGTTCAAAATGATTTGAATGTCGTTGGACGGTCGTAAATGTGTGCACACAAGAAGACGGTGTGGAATTTTCGAACCGAAACGCAGTCTTCTCCTTTCGGAAGATCTCATGCGCGTTAATGATGTGTTTGGTTTGTTTTTTCTTCTTCTTCTTCTGTCGTTGTTGTATATCTGTGTAACAGCACTTGAGATATTTTCAACATCGTTCTTATCTGTATTTGCCCAAAAAATTAAATAATATTAAACTATAAAATGTTTTACGGAAACTGCAAACGTTTACATATTATATTTTTAATGTTTTCTTTTTCCGTGTTGTGTATGGCGGTCTTAATTGCATGAGTACAGGTTTTATGTCGCTTGAATTGTTGAAAGAAGCGAATTTACGCTGTGTCGTTGGTGGCGCTGACGAGTTGAAACGATTTGTATGTATTTATCATTGCAGTGCTGCAATAAACCTGTTGTCGTCATCGCATGGAATTGCTGTTTCATGTTGGCACCCGGCCAAAAAACAATCAACGCCTTTTTCATTTTTTTTTTTCGTGTTTGTGTCGCCTCCTGCTGATGGTGCTTCGTTTCTTTTTATCACTTTTGCAATAAATATGTATTCTCGGTATGAATTCGTGCAAACAACATAGATATTTATTTAAGAAGAGAATATATTCGTTGCGCAAGCACATTTCGCAGTCGTTTTAAAATAAATTCAGCTTCAAATTGGCTACCGTCAATCAGTTGAATGTAAAATGCTAAAAACTCCGATTTTCAAATCGAAGTTGATGCGACAAACCAAGTTGAATTTTGCAATAAAATCGCATTAAATTTGAATCGTTCGACTTGAAAAAGAAAATGCTCGTCGCTCACATTTTGTTCACACTTCTGAATAAACTCTTCTTTTTCTTTCTGACATGCAAAAGTTTATTTCAAAAGCTCCGTCGCTTACTCAAATAGTTTGAAAATATGTCATTTCTTTTACGCCGGTTTTTTTTATTTTGCTTTGATTTCGCTCTCTTATAATTTCACCGTTGGTGCACATCGTCAAACGTTTATTCAAGATGAAATGTTTGGATTTCCATACGCTAGAACAAACTTCATGTTTAATTCAAAATGTTTGTTGTGTTTTTGTGTATTCCTTCGTCTCGAATCAAACACTCCGCATTTAATGCATACAAATTAAAATATGTAGAGCGATGCTGTTGTGTTTGCTCCTTTTCTTCAAATCTAAACGAGGAGTATGATACACAACAGCGAAACAGCGCTCTCCGAATTGGATATAATTCTGTGTTTGTGTAAGTGAATGGCATTTGGTTGTATATTGTGTATGCAACAGTACACGTGTTCTTCTTCTTCTATCTCTGTCTCTCGCCAGTCTCAGTGCAAATCATCATTCCCAATGCAAACAAATGTATTTCCGCATTTTCCCGGCATCCTTAAGAAAACTAACAAATTTTCTTACGTCTTGAGTGTATATTTATATTCTAATAATCAACGCGATTCGTACACAAAGCCGTTTGCATGCGACGTTATTTTCTCATCTTGGGAAATTTGACTGAAAAACGCATCAAACATGCACAGCACACAGCACACTCAATTTGTTTGAGAAAGTGGATGGAAGAGGGAAACGAGTGAGTGTATGTGTGTGGGTATGCGGTCGTGTTAACTATAAATTAGTGTAATGGGCTATATAATGAACTAGTGCGCACCATACCACAAAAGTGAGAAAGTAATTCTCAGCAAAAGTAGAAAAAAGAGAAATTACACGAAAATCGTTCAGCTTGAATCATGCATACGACATGAAATATTTTGAATGTAACGCAATAACAGAGTAAACACACGAAATAAATAGAATATCGTGACGATGAAACACTATTTTTTTCACTTTTTTAAACTGCTACATTTGAAATGAGCCGTTTGTCGATGGAGCAAGTAAAGATAAACAGTCGTTTTGCTTTCTTGTATGCGAGTGTGTAAACTCGAAAATTGTTGATGTAGTCTTGGGACGTTCAATGTTTGATGTAAATTGTTTTGTGCATTTTTCATTTGTAAGCATTGCGATTGACGATAGGGCAACAGCAAAATGGCTTGAATGTTTTAATTTGATAATTGGATACGAAAATTTCATGCAAAGCAAGAAATGAAGCGCAGTAATTTGAAAATAAAAACAAACACATTTTCATGCGGGGAGCTGTTAGTGATGGCACGTTTACAGCGTCATGGGAAACAAATTAAACGAAAAAGTCAATAAATTTATTTTGAATCTTACAAAATTCAAACCTATTTCTATCCTGAATTTTCGATGCAAAAAATCACTTTTCATGAATTATGATATTTTTCTTTTCAGTTCGTGCATATGATATTTTCAGAACGAATAAAGACGAGCAAAAAATAAATTCGAAAACAATGCAAATGAGCGGAAAAAAAAATTGGTGGGTGTAATATTTTATGCTCTTGTTGTCACCATTTGCAACAAACACCGTTACTTTGATCTCATTTTGATTGTTTTTAGAAATGGCGTCATCAACCGGACACCAAATATCTAGACCAAGGAAAATTAGTTTATATTTTTGCGTATTTTTGATTCGAATCTCAACGATGCGTACACCCAGATAAATGTAACATCCGAAACGAAAAAAAAGCAAACAAACAAATATATGACAAATGGTGTGACATTAACTTATTTCGACGAATTTCGTTAACCGGGCGAATGATTAAAATGTGAAAAGCTATTTCCATTTATTACGACGTCACTTCAAGCGATATAGGCTTGGGAAAAAAAGATGTGATTTACTGAGGCGTTTTTAAACACTTTTGTTTGAGGCAACCAAACGGATTTGAATGAAGATTGTGTGAAAAACGTTTGTCATGAATAGTCTCTGTAGTATTTTTGAGTTGGCCCAAAATGTGTATTCCTTGTAAATAGAGCATATTTGTTTTCCTCTGAGAATTGGTTTCGTTTCGATGCCAATGTCACTTTAACAGCATAACAATGCTTCAATATCAAATGCTAATGCACACGTCAAAGAGAATTACTGATGATGGATAACAGAATCAGAGCATCTCTAGCTCTGCATTTTTCAATTAATTCTACATTTTGTTGAACGGAAAATAAAGAACAATGTTACATTTATTGGTATGACTTTTGAGAATACCAAAAAAATGACGTACCAAAATCACTTAAACTGAATGCATCGCAGAGTAAAGAAAAACTGTGACTTTGTGAATGCATGAACAAATCCAGCCCAAAGCAACGTACATAATTTCTAGTACAATAACAATTATTCTCTTTATAAAGAAATTCATAGAGAGAATAAGGAAAATGCGCTGACTTATTACTCGTAGAGAAAAGATGACGATAAAAGAAAACATGAATATGAATTCATGTTGAATGTTTCAGTAAAAGGAAATCGTTATAAGCAGGAAACTTGCTTGTAATAACTCTCGACAAAAAGAAATCAGTATCATTTAACAGTTTCAAACTGATTCGATGTAAAATAGAATGGAGTTCATAGAATATATCTATATTGATATGAGATATATGAATTATGCGGAAATGTTCATGGAATGTATTCTTCTTCTTCTTCTTCTTCTTCTTTATATAAATTCATTCGACGCGGCAATAATAAATGTGAAAAAAATGAAATATTCGCTTACCTTTCCTAAGATTCTAAAACCATGATCTTCTGCAATGCGTTCAGCAACGCTATCGCCGCCTGGAACATGAACAGCCCATGTTGGTGTAAAATGTCTCGAACTGTCATCGTCATCGGTAGTTTGGTGTGAATGTTGTTGGTTTAAATTTTGTGAGTCTTGCAGCGACATTGATTCGACCGCCAGATCATTGTCAACTGGCATATGGATTTGTTCATCATCACCAGTGATACTCTTAACGGCTATCGTTAAATTATTTGTTGCTAGAATCGGTTCACTTAACACTAAGCTCACATTTTGATTTATCACTAGCCAAAGGACCAATAGAACGATTTTATGTAGTTGCGTTCCAACTGTTCCGGCAATCAACGACCTGCGTGTGTTTCTGCTATGCTTGTTCGCCAATGCAATGTTTACATTGGCGTGATTTCGGTACGATGGACGCAAATGTTCAGATGACGTCATGACGTCGTCACGTTTTTGTGGCTTATTTTGTTGCATATACAACTGAGACCATCGAACAACATCACTAGTCATTTTATTTTGAAAATAAACGATTTTCACCTTTAATTATTGTTTATTTTGACAGCTATTTGAGCTGATTTTCAACATCTACACGCTCACACTGTCAAAATGCTCGATTAAATATCAAAATCAGCACGAAACGCAACAAATGTTGCGTATTAAATGTCGTTTGCAAATATCTACACTACACACTTCCGTTTTCAATCAGTCATTTCGCTTTGAAATGTAATTACTTTTATGCAGATTCCGTTGATTTTGCTTGTGTGTCAGGAGATGTAGATGCCGCTAATGCTTTTGCTGCTGATGCTGCTGTCGCTAATGATGATTATGATGAATTTCTTCTCAATCATTTACGGGCAAACATTCAATCACGAGATTTGTTTATTCGGCTGTCTGAACGAAAAACCGTCAATTCGATTCGATTATTAACGAGTGTATCACAATAGAAATGCACACAAGAAATCGGCATTCAGATAGAATGGAAGCGAATTAATTTTATTGTTAGCTGTCGATTAGCAAAAATTTACGTTTAGATGCGAAGTTATTAACATAGATATAAATGGAACAGAAAGCCAAAATATTCTCTGACTATCTATCTGAATAATCGCACGCTTCATTAATTTATCACATGATATATTCTCCTTTCTCTGCCATTTGTTGTTGTGATTGCAAAATGTATCGAGTTTGCTTAAAATATTAGGTTCACTTCACTAGATTCGATGTGTATTCGTGTTTTATTTTCTCTCGCTCTCTCTCTCTCTTTCTCCCTCTGCTAACTGTTCATCTCGTTAATAAGCGACTCTCATCAAAAATGTATGACATGTAGTCCGCCCAAAACCGAACACACAAACACCAAATTATTTCGCGTCGGATTTTATGTATTTTGTTAGTTCACGAGCAGAACGATTTTATTACGAAAATTCGTGAACAACCTAATTATCAAGCAGATTGAATTGGTTTGCTGCCGTCACAATTTACAATATTCTTCTCGGTTTTCGTGATTCTCGCATTTGGTTCTAATTTATTGTACAGATCTGTATAGTCTCAATGAAATACACATAGATAGGCGACGAGACGAGACGACCCAAACTACGCAATGCGATGTAAACGATTTTTGAATCGATGTATCATTTGAATTAATCTCGTTCTCGCTTATGATGGGGAAAGAAAAAAAAGAAGAAGTGAATGTATCTACTGAGGTGCGTCTGGACGAAATCGTCTCATGTTAGGGTTCCTTTTACAGTGGGTAATTAACGTTGATTGGATGCTTTGATCTACGATATTTTTCTCAATATCATTTTCTGTCGATCCGTTTCGTGTTTAGATGAGCTGAATTCGCTGCACTTGTCTCGTCGCGTCTAGAAATTAAGAAAATATTTAATTAAATTATTATTATTTAATTTGATCATAAAATTTGGCGAAAAAAATAATATACAAATTGCCCGTCACTTTTCATAAAGCCGCAACATTTGATGCGTTCATTTTCAATTGAAGGAGAACAGCTAAAAAAAGTAGGTTTTTGCGTCATTCACGCGATTTAATGTGTGGTTATTCATTTTGCGGTATATTTCATGATTACGAGCAGTAAGTGAAAAAGTTTGCAAAATGTGCAATTTTGGTAATACTATGGTCGACACAGGCGATAGCAAAGCATTTATGTTTGAACGTCAATGTGATGGATGACAATAGATAAACATCAATTTTTATTATGAGTCTCTTTCGTAAGTAAATTGGATGATTCTATGAGCTTCATTTGAACGAAATGAAATGATGAGCATGAAAGCCGATATCAGCGATTTAATGATCCAGTCCTTGTTTCTTAGAAAAGACGTTAAAATCCTAAATTGCTTAATAAAAACAGCGTTAAAGACAACATCATAAGTGGCACAAAAACATGCTTAATACGGACTTTTCACTTGATTTCACGAGCACTCGACATCGATTTGCGTTTAAATGAACCAACAAAACAGCCAAGATTTACTTTATCAACTTAATCGTAATCAATTTGATATTTTTTTTTGTGCACAACAACTAACAACGATTATGACGATGCTCGTATTCACGCCCATAAAATTTATTGGAATTTTTATGGACGTAATTCTAGCTAAGAAAGCACTTGCCTCAGTCGTCACTTTGAATTTTAATTTTTCTTCTCTCGTTTGCTTGAAACGCTTTATTGCATTGAAAATACCAATGTTTATAGATTTCAATTTATAAATTCAGTTTCTTGAAAATAAAACGGTAGCCGGTACTTGTCGAACGCATCCGAGTGTTTTGCAAAACAAAAAGTTTCAATCGTTTAATTGAAAGCAAGCAAGTAAAAAAGTGCTCCAATGAGTTGACAACTTAAGAAGAACTGAAAATATTCGTTCAAGTTGTTATGTGGCATGAAATGCAGGGAGAGGGAGAAAAGAGCAAAGAAAAATTCATATATATTGCAATGCATCGTTTATAGAGATTCCCGATTTTGTGGAAAAGGAGTCTGAGTCGTGACATCGTCTGCAATGAATGAAGAGAGAGAGAGAGAGAAAACACCCGAACATATCACAATCTATTGAATAAAACGAGTTGACAAAAGCTACATGAATTTATTTAAATGTGTCTTTTCTTCTTTTGCCCGTGATTCGCAGCCATTTATCGTTTTATGTCATCTTCCATTCTGCAGGTCGTTACATTCGTTGCATGTATCAATTGATGTGCATTGAGTGCACACAAAAGTTAAATGTCAAGTGCTCGAGCAATTGCAAAATAAACTCAGTCAGTCATAGAGAAAATAAAAGGCAGGTGATTGTATGTTTTTTTTTCTTGCTCTCGATATGACAGCGCACTCAGCATGGCATAGAAGAAGAGCTACGACAAAAAAAAGAATGAAAAGTCGTATCTTGGATTGATCGGAGCAGCATGTAATTTATTTCAAATTCGAAATCGTTAATGCACATAAGTAAATGTGTAGTACGATAAGGTAGTGCATACAGGGTAAATTCCATCGTTTAATGACAATGAAACCTTTTTGTTCAATGCTTGCCATGTATGACACTTCTTTCTCCTTCGTTTCGATTCTCGCGCACATTTTATTATTTTATGGCTGTTATTCACTAACAAAAGCGACAAAGAAACGTTTTTTTTCACGTTTTGAATATTGTGGTTGGAGCAATGATGATAAATCAAATTGCTAATATTATTATCGGCACTTATAATGAATATTACATCAAAAATGGCAAAGCATTCCAGCGCGTCTATATAAAACTGCGAAATAAATCTTGTCTATTTTGAATTGAAAAAAATAAAGAGAACACACAACCATAACAATGCAAGTCATGATGTACAAGCATAAACAATTAAATGTTTACAAAACTTATTATTGGGAGATATGTAAAGAGCAAACGTGCTGAAAGGTGACATTTACGTTTTTAGCATACAATAAAATGATATATATATATAAAATACCATAAAAAAATGATGAAATAAGCTGCGCATTTGTAAAGGTAGTTATTTTTAAATGGCCCACCATTTACAAGTTCAATTTTTAAAGTGCTTACTAAGACCGAGTGAGAAATGGAATTAAATCATGTAATTTTACGCTAGACATGAGCGTTTTTGATGCGATCAAGAAATCAGTCCCTTAAACATGTTGCGCACTCGATCAATGTTAATTTGTGTAATCAACACAGCCAAATTGCTGTGAAAAACCACAAGACCGCGATTATTTTTGTGCAATTTCGCGTCGGCATAAAAACCTGATTTATACGCCACTTGCATCTCTATTTGCAGCGACAATACTTGTTTGTAACGTGACATGTTCCATCGAATTTCATAGCCATTTCATGTTATATGATTTTTCGCTGTGCTCATCGTTTCTTCAAAAAAAAAAAAACCACTTCACTTTGTGAAGCAAAAGCGTTTCTAATGCCTTTGTGCTGTATACTCCAAAAAATCTTTGGCTTCTCTATGTTATTTGCACCGAAAATAGGAGAGTTGCACATGTGCTGTTTAAGTTGGCAGAGCGGAAACTGAAAGGAAATTGATTCTTTGCATTTTGTCGTCACTAAAAACGAAGCAATACAGAGAAGAAAAGTTTGTTGTTCAAGAAAACTATTCACTGAAACTGAACAAGTAACTTCGATTTAATTCAGAAAAGAGATCCGCATCAATAAAAAATGTAATCAAACCATGTCGAATATTTTCTGCTTGTCTCTGTTCAATTTTCACATTCTTTGAGTTATAAATACTTTGAATTCAATATAATTTTATCCTTCAAATTCGCTTGAACGGCGAAAACATGTAAAATGAGCATAAATTTTGTTTAAATGTTAAAATATGGCTTTAAACTCAAGTATCTACTGTCAAATAATAATATTCTTTAGTGATTAAGTAATGCTGGCTTTTCCTGTTAGCATTTTGAAAATGATGGGAACCAAAATTGATTACGTAACCCAAATGGATGGTTTCAAAAGGTTTCACACTGTTCGATTCGTTAATATCGACAAGTTATGCTAAATGCTGATTTTGGATGGGATTGCATTTGCTTTTCTAACTTAAGTAATTGTACACCGAAATTCAATTCAAAAATATATACAGGGTGTCTCAAATAATAGGCTCGTTAGAAAAATTTTAAAATTTCAAAAAACCCTTTGGGGGGGTATGTTGGGGGTAAAAAATAGAAAATTTCTATCGGAGCAGAATT